ATATATGGTGTTAAAGGGATAGTTGTTTCTGGATGGCATCAGCTATAACTGAACTAAAATAATATAATGGTGGTAGTAAAAACTAAAAATACCTGCATTATTTGAAGGATTACCCGGAAGTAAACAGTATGTTCTGTGTGCCGCTGGTTCAGGGGTAACAGTGACCACTAGGATTGATGTATTATGGGATGAAACAAAATCTTACAGACTGGAACCAGTACAGTGAACAGCAAATAAAGTGACCATGTGCCTGATCAGCACATTGTAAATGGTGTAACCTCATGTTCTCTGCGTTAGCAATTACGTGGAGTAGTTGCATCTATACTCTGCAGAAAAAAACAGACTGAGACTTTCAGATTCACAGCAGAACTGTTACACTCTGGAAATTCTAAGTCTATACTTTTTTTAAAAGTATTGCTGTTTCTTCTTTGACATTGATTATTGTCAAACTTATGATCCAACATTAACAAACAACAGCTTAGAGCCTGTAGGTAATGGAAGCCATGTATCATTGAGGCTGTTTATGATGTTCTCTACAGGAAAGCATTGTATTTTTTGTTTTTGTAGAACTGCCACCTGTTAAAGCAATAACATTGTTGGAATATGGTGAAATGTATTTCAGCGTGAATGGCTTATGGACTTTCAGCTATGAAGATAGTGTTTAAAAAGCACGTTTCTTGTGATTAGGCAGTGCATTTAAGCTTTTTCTCCTGAAATAGTTTGATCATGTTTATGAAGAATTAGTTCCAAGATCTAAAGTCACAAGCATTTCAAGTTTTTCCCAGGTATCTTTTTTTTTTTTTAATTTTTAAAAATGTTATTTTAAAATGTATTCCAGTGCAGTGTCAGCGATGGGCTCTGATTCCCTTTCAGGAATGGGTCCTCTGCTTTAGATTTCACTAATGAGTTGTGGGTAGTCTCACCGCTCCTTCAGGGGCTGGTGGAAACCTCCTGGAAAGCTGAGTGCCAGCTGTCGGTCATGAGCTTCTGTTGGGGTGTAGGTATGTGCCCTTGCATTGTGGGCTACTTTGGGTCTTTGCATGATCTTTAGCTGTGTGGGCAGATTTCTGAGAGCTTTGACAGGTGGCTGCTAAGGAAGTGAATAAGGAGAGCGAGGGCTGTGTATGAAGAAAGGAAGAGGTGTTACTCACAGTTCAGGCAGTTGCAGTTTGATAAACTGACCTACTGGTGAGGACTTAACTTCCTTTCGCTGTATGGTAGACTCAGTGCATGGAGTAACTAGCGTCAGTTAGGGGAGTTGCTATGCAGTTGCAGTTTTAAATGAAAAATTGGTGCTATTGTCTGTATCCCCAGGTACTTCATCCTGCATCCTCTATGTGTAGGTGACACCTACTGTTTTGGTCAATTGAAAAAGACAAAGATTCAAAGCATTAGAAGTTAACCATAAGTCTTCTCATACCTGCAAAGTATTTGTAGCCATAATTGAAGCCTATGATTTAGTGTATATGCTTGTGTTCCTGTGGTCGCTGTTGTCTACAGGTTGGTCTGAATCCAAATGATTTTCATCTTAAAAATGATGAAGGTAAATGATTCAGGGAGTCTTTGATTGTTTCTATCTTTGCAAGTGGTATAGTGAAGACAAGGAGTGCTTTCCTCATATATGATCAGTGTGAGAGCCTTTAAAAACGTTAGGTCTCTTTGGCACTTGAAGTTTTGAGTGGTGATGGTATATTTGGCTCACCTCTCACTTCATCTGTTTTCCATGAACCAGTGTATATCATGGTGATGGATTTGCAGAAGAAGGTCATCATATTACTTATTTAAAGAGGTGATAGACATGTCACATATAAATGTGTTTTGTATTCCCTTTTCAGTTTTAAACAAGCAGTGATTCTTTGGCAGTATTTGTAGTGGCTTTTCACCATAAATTAGAACTTGAAAGCCATCTTTGGAAAAGTAATAATTACTGTCTAAATTTAAATTTGAAGATGATAAATATTATATCACTATGTTTTGACCTCTGAAGTTTATTATCAAGGTGAAAGGTATGCCTCACTGTGAAAACAGTCTTCAGGCAGCAAAATCTAATTCTTGCATATGTTGACAAACAGTACAAAAGATCATTTTGCATCCTTGGCATTTTGTATGATCAAAATGCCAAATTACTCTAAAATGTGAATCTATCATGCAGCCTTCAAAGACAAATGCAAGTTTAAAAAACCAAACTTCCATATATGGACAGAAAATACTGATCTCTACCTTTCCTCCGCAAAAGCAACAAAAAATCCAGAAGTTAATAAATCTTCCATGCTTCCTAGGGTAGAACATATTTGTTACCTCTTTAAGTTTGCTTGCTTTTAGTGTAAAAACGAGCCACCAAGGACAGAGCCATTGAGCTCTCCCTTTTCTACCCTTTCCTCAAATCAAAAAAAAAAAAAAAAAAGGCAAATTCCCAAACACTTCCAGTCAGTACCTCTGACTGTTCAGATGAGATGAGTGGGTTATGTAGTGCCTGAATCAACACGCATTATCTAAACCTTTCAGCTTAGACTTCAGTAGTCTTGGATAAATGTCTGCAACAGAGGATAAAGAGTTTTGTATTTACTGCTTTTCCCCGGGGATCTTGACACAAGTGTTTGTGACCAGTAGGAATAATCTGTTGGTCATGACATGGTCAGCAGTCTTCAATATCTAAAGGTGTTAGTGAAACACATAGCAAAACTTCCAGTAGAAATATTGATGGTGTCATAAAGATTAAAATTCTTACAAAGACTCTTCAAAATAGGACTTCAGAAAAGAATTCTTGGATTCTTGGCAGTGATAGAAAGATCTCTACAGCAAGAAATAGCTGAAGATGGTTCCTTAAGGTTGCTGTGCATGCCTCCCTTAGAATTTGTTGCAACTGCTTAAACCTCTGTGAATCTAACAGGAGAATTTAGGTGCAGTCTTACGACAACGGTTTAATTTTCAGTGCTGTTGTGTTATGATTTCTTGCCTTGGTGGGGATGATGTATGGGAAAGGTAGAACTTGCAAGAATTGTCAGTACTGGTGTCCTAGCTGTGGCTAAAAGATTGCCTTGCCAGTGGTGTGTGTGCAGCATGTATCTGCCAGCTGTTTCCCCCTTTCTCACCACGCTCATTGTGAAAGTCTTAGAGATTTTTGCAGTTCCTACCTTCTTTCTGCCACTCGCCTGTGTTTGACAATTGATTTTTTTTTTTATCTTGACCTGCGTGAAATTGCTTTTTATGATCTCTTTTAACTTCAGATTAATTACAGCTAATACTCAGGCAAAACAACAGAAAGGCCCAAACTGTATGCTTTATACAGGAGTACTAAGGATAGGAAGGCAAAGGTGTTGGGACTCATCGCTGCTCTGAAGGAAGGCTGTGGTTTGATGTTAGGAACAGCTATGGGTACTGCAAGGACAGGGGAAGACTGCTTTAAACAGGAGAGTGGAAGCAAATCGCTAATGACTTGTATTGTGTATCCCATCCACTGGTTAGTGCACTAGGGCCCTATATTGAGAAACTTTGCAAAGCTGCTTTGGGATTATTTTATCTATTAGTAATCGTATCACAGTCATGCTGTGAGAATGACTACTGTGAACTCTAGCTGCTTGTTAGACTTTCTTAAATATTTTGCATTGGGCTTTGAAATACATTTCTAAGGTTTGCTTCTTTCTGTTGAGAGTGATTTCTAAGCTTTTTAATACTCTAAAGAAATTACTGGGAAGATTTATTTTGTGTGTGCTTTAACAGGCATACTTGATCGTATGCTTTTGTGCTGAACTTCAGTGCTATTTGACAAATTTTTACATACTCTTTCTAAAGACAGGCTTGTGAAACATAAGTAGCTCTGTGTGCAGAAGGATGTTTGCAATATTTGAAGTATATAGATTTATTGGAATAAATTTATAATAGAAAATGTCTGTTTAAGAGGTATCAGAAAATTGTTTTATGTCAAACTATTCCTACAACTTTTGGGATTTGGAGCAGAAAATAAGAAAATAAGTAAATAGAAAACTACTCTTGCTGTTCAATTGCTCTAGTCAGACATGACTCTTGTTATTCTGAAGGCCTTGGCAGTTTTGACCAGAAAATTGGCAGAGACACTTCTTGTTTGTGTGGTGAAAAACTTGTTCAGGGCTTGGCTTCTCTTTGTATAAAAGTTTATTTCATTGTTTGCATTTAAAGCTGCTGGTGAACTTGATGGTGCTGTCTTCACCTGAACACAGTTAGCCCTCATAGGCACCAATAAAACTGGCTGCTGCACCTGCTCCCCCTCAAGAAAATGCCATGTAGCCTAAGAGAGGATTTGTTTAGCTGAGAAAAGTCTCGTAAGAATTTAATTTTTGTGTCTCTTGCTCTTCCTAATAATGATTTGGCACATTTTGCAGTGCTTATTATTGGTTAAAGCCTTGTGTCTCTGTCTTGGGAACTTGGCAGTAATCTTTCCTCCCATCTTACTGATGGGATATCAGAGGTTCATAGTTGGGCATAGAGGCTGTGCCTCAAAGCCCTCTTAGCTAGCTTTTCAGAATGTAACAAGTGTATGTGTTTAGCTTTTTTCTGTGCAGGTGGAACTACCCTAACATACTCCTTAAAATCTACAGATAAATTAATGCAACAATGTGCATGCAGCAGTTAGCTCTTGCGCTGATCTGCTGTTTTCCATGCTGCCCGTAGGTCTGAGGTACTGGCCAGCAGACATCTATGTAGATAAGAAGTGGTTGGTGTCTCTGAAGAATAATTATGTGATGTAGCTTTATAGGAGCTGTTTGTCTGTCTCAAGTAGTTTAATGCAAATCTTTTAATAATGGGTTCAGATGTGTACAGTGATTTTATTTTGCTTTATAGAACTCCTGAACATAAGACTGTTTCCTTCCCAAAACAGTGCAGGGCTGGAATAGTTAGATGTTAGTAAACTCAAGTATGTGGAAAAGAAAATGAGTTCTTCAGTTCTTTTGCTGATGTTTATTTATTATAAATGCAGATTGAATTACAGTGTAATGACTGTACTTCTCTTTCCAGGACACCAGGGACGCTTTTGCGTGATAGAATGGATGAACAATCACAAGGTGTGCAGGGGCCTACTGCTCCACCATTTCAGCCACAGGTACTTTTTTTTTTTTTAACAGTTACTCAGGAGAAGATGCTATCACTTCTTA